GGATAGATAAAAGGAATACTTTAACCGTAAGGGTATAGAAAGTGAAACAGATGACTGTGCATTCTAATTACATCTGTCATTCTTATTTCAAATGCACGATATAAAATGACGTTCAGAACATATGACCATTCTGTTTCTATGGAAACGATCACGACGGCAAAACCTAAGCTTGCTATTTTTGACGCCTGCTATAAAATAAAATTTTGTATTATACACGACGATAAAGGGAAACTAAAATATTCCTTTATCGTCTTATATAATAAATAACTATAAATATGTTGTCATTTAATAAATAATTCAATGTATTATGGTCATTTTTCAAACGAACAAAACGTGTTGTGGTCATAAGTTAGTTATTAATTAACCGTTTAAAATCTAGTACTTCGTGTTTCGAAATTCGTCAGAAAATGACAGGTTTTTTGGCAGTTGTAGAAAAAAATAGTTATTTATATAACAAGAGCGCGAAATAACTTCGCGCTAGCGTTATATACAACATTTTTTCTACAACTGAACCGGTTGTTAATTAAATGTGCTTTTAAGTTCAACTTTGTAATGTGCGCGAAATACTTTTTTTCATTGTTGACGGTTTCGCGCACGTTGTCAAGAGCAACCTTACTTATTCATTAACCGTTTAAAAATCTAGTACTTGACAGGCTTTCTTGACAGTTGTAGAAAATAGTTGTTTGTACAACTAGTTTTGAAAGTGATACTTTTTTCATGAATTTGCAGTTTGATTAATGAGGGCGAATAATTTGATTGACATTCGCGATTTACTGTCACTCAAAAGTGGATGCTATTGTTCACAGACAGGACTAAACTCCATGGAAACGCACAGCAAAAATCGTGAAAAAAAGTACCACTTTCCATACGATTTTTCGTTTAAAAAAGTCCGATAATTTCATCACTATGTAAAAAATTTAATTTCGGTCTTTGGTCATTTAGCTTCGGCTATAATGCGTTGTGTTCGATATTTGCGCGTACTGTTTGGTGACCAAGGGATTTTCCACAAGCAACACTTTCTGTACCGTCGAATCGCTTAAATAAACGAAGAATGTGTGGCGACGTAAGTTCTCGTAATCAACGACGTGTTCAGGATATGCCTCTCGAAATTCCTCCATGCACAGGCAAGTTGAACACTTCCAAACTCTATTTCCGTCTTTACTTCCATTACGGAAATAGGACTGCAAAAGCAGCTTATTTTCTTCCAAAGTAAAAGGCATGTTGCAGTTGGAGAATATTACAATCTAAAACGATAAAATATGAATTTCTGATTTAAAATCTAACTTACCCACCTTGTAATTATTCGTTGCAAATTGGTAGCCTTGACAAAGACTGTTTTGTAAAACGAAAAGATAATAATAATACTCTTTATTGTCCATACAGCAATAACACCAATATTGGACAACTGCAAAATGTATAAAGAAACAAAAAAACGTTTAACTAAAACTATAGAATTCAGTGACAAAGAATATGCAGACAAATGGTTGTGGAACAAAATGGATCAAACGAGAGGTGACAGAGGAGGATTGGATTTAGAGGTAAGGTTAGTATTGGTTCAGCATCACATGCGTTGCGCCAAATGTTTCATAAATGGCATTTCGGCAATCTTCATACTTAAAAAAAGTTGATTTCTCTAGAATGCCATCTGTTTAATGGCCAAATTTCTTGACAAAATTCGTTGTTGCGTAAAAAAACTATTTTGCACAGTCACAGCTGTTTGTATCGACGCACAATTCTTTACGGAAAAATGTTCAAACGCGTCCTGTAGATAATAGAGAAATTAAAAAGGCCAACCACCTTTTTGAGGTTCAGGTTCGCTATGAATTTCGGGATGACGTTAGCAAACAAGATTCTAGAAATCAATCACTATAACTTTTCTGGGTGTCTTCAGTGACAATGAGATGTTAACCGATAATAGGTACTACAAATAATTACAATGCAACCCTGTCTAAATAACTACATTACAACAACGAACTAAGAATGTTCACGTAGGTGTCGCACTTTTTAGCGATTTTATGAACGTCGCAGTCGGTAAATACTTAACGAACAAAATCCACCGACGCCCTACCGCAAACACAAAGAGAATACCACAAGGAAAATTAAAAATTGAACTTTCCATTCGCCACAACATAAAGATGAAAATTTACGTTAGAAATAGTTCCGCTGGAAGTATTCAATTTGTCCCCTATTGCATTGTTAGTAGGTATATAATCAATGCCTATTGTTTAAATATAGCAAAAGAACTTTTACTATAATTGGTGTGTTTTCCTTAAATATAATTTCAAGCCTAATCCGGAAAGTAGGCCGTCAAAGGAAGAGTGGGATTTTGTTCGATAGATTAAAAAAGTTTGAAATTAATCTGCTCATTCTCATCGTTTAGGTAAATATATTTAATTAAGAACCATCAATCTTTTTTTGTTGGAGAGAGTGTAATTAGTTTTGTCATTTTCCTCCTCGTCCGAACAACAGTAGGTACAGGACAATTTTATGTTGAAGTGGCATTTAATTGCAATAATTTAACTTCGGCGATAATTTAAACTTTTTAATTGCCATTAGATCCAGGATAAAGGAAACCATAAGTGCATTTGGTGCGTAATTTAGGAATGTGGTGGTATCTGCGTCTGTAGAAATCGCGTTTTAATATTTGCGTGAACATTACCTAGGTATATAGTCAAGAGTAAAAAACAATTGAGCAATTTCCCTTACACGAAACAATCTACATATACAAATTCCTTTTAAAATACGTCACTGTAACTGCCAATTAAGCATAGAGTTAAACGATTAATTCACATTACTTTATGAGATAATGTTCATAACTGAACTTCCGGTTCTCCTGGTCTACCCATTTCGAAACTGGTGATAACCTTTGCCGGTGATTAACACTCAAAATTTACTAAACGGTTGGAAACATTGAAATTGAAATGCACATGAATTTATTCTTGTGTAGTCTACAAATATGAGTATCCTAACCCCCTTATAATTAGGGCTGAATAAAATAAAGTTACGAATGAAAGTTTTTTAAATAACTTCGCCATGATTCAGAAAGCGTACCACAAGTCCACTTTACCCGGTTTATTTTAATGCTTTTAATTTCGTAATTTATCTAAAACCTGACCGTTGATGCCACACGTAAATCCCCCGTCGAGTATTCTTTTACCACTTATTTAAATAAACTGTTCGATTAGATTAACAATCCACTTGTTAATTAAATTCCGAATCCCGTTTAAAGAAAAAAACCTCCACGTTTCACAATTAAATCGCTTACCGAATTTTTTAGATGCAAACTGTAATTACTCGACCGTTGAGTAACTTTTAATTAATTACGCTATTAAAAAAACATGCGGACGAAGTGTACAGTTACGTACCTACCTCTCTCGCGGCTATTAAAATCGATAACACTCAGCTATTTATATGAAACCAAAGGGGAACCCACGCAACTTTCGAGACTGGCGTCCAATTTAAACCAATAGCAAAACAGCATGTTTTGTTTCTAATGCCACTTTCAGCTCGGAAAGAAGGGAACCGCTACGTCAGTGAGGTCCGCTCATATCGCAACATTCAACGCGTCGTAGGTGCTTACGTTTGTCGTTAATAACTCGATCGACTACGCATACAAAAACAAAATGTCAGAACTCGTGCAGCCTGTGTTTTTCCAAGTGGAGACACAGTACCCTTAACTCATATTTTATTAATCCGTGGGTACTTACAAGTCTCATTTCTGGAAATTAGATATATTCACCCAGTGCCTTTACTAGCACTAATGTCGTAGGTTACGTGTTAATCAATAGAATTAAGAGAAAAATGCTTATTTAGTATACAAGACGGATAAAGGGATGCTTTAACAATCGATTGAGAGATGTTAATTCACGAGTGGCGTAGGCAAAAGTGTATGAACTTTCACGAGATGGTTGGTTTCCCTTTAACGTCGTGTATAAGACCAAACTTTATTTTACAGCAGAATCCATAAAAATTATTATCAAACTGCTAAAAATTCTGTAGGTATATTTAACATAGACATCAAAAATAGCAAGCTTAAGCTCTCACGTCGTTTCTATGGAAACAATATTGCACCCTGTTCTAAACTTTATTTTATATCGTGCTCCGCGTCCCATTTAGGGATTACAAAATAATAAGTTTAAAGTCAATGGTACATTTACAAAATGCCATTTTGCAATGCTTAAATGTTTACACTCGTGTTACGCCCGGCACCGCATTTACTCCGCTTGTTTTTGTACAATTATGAAAGTTGATATAATTGTAACCATCACTCTTAAATTTAGAAATAATTGGACCGATACCGTATCTTTCAAGTTAACAGTGTTTTCCGTATTGTGAGCCAAAAAAGCAAGCAGTTTGCAAAATTTTCGGTCTGTGTATCCATACTTTTACTGCTCACGCAGATTTGAAGGCACTTTCAAATCTTTTTTATATAAGCAACATCTTTAATCCATTTGCAATGAATTTAGCAGCAAACGAAAGTACTTATACAATTAAGTTCCCAGTTCAATATCTACTTTATATTTAGGGGGAGACAGAGATGGGTCGAGCGTTCTAACACACCGCTCGAGCGAAGAGCGACAAGCACTCTAATTTTCTCAAAAATGCTCGCGAGCATCGAGTTGTTTTGCAAAGCGAAACCGCTTGCAAGTTCCGAGCACTCCTAAAAGTGCTCGAGCGGTTTATCGCGAGTGCTTGGGAAAAGTACTCGTGAGCGGAAAAAACGCGCAAGAGCGAAAAAAGCGCTCGGGAGCTGAAAAAACGCTCGCGCGCGGCGCTAATCCTTCAGCGCTTGAGGGGGGTTAAAAGCGCTCACGAGCGAAAAAAAAACACTCAGGAGCGGAAAAAGCACTCGCGAGCGAAAAAAGGGCTTGCGAGCGGAAAAAAACGCCGAGCACTTTAAGTAAACGCTCGAGTATCGAGCAAGCGCTTTTTCCGCTTGGAGCACTTTTTCGAGCGAAACGCTCGCGAGCAGTACCCAGCCCTGGGGGATGAAAGTTTACCTTATAATTTAACGAGCCATTAGAAATGCACTTTCCACTCCTCCAATGGCAATACCCCAAATCCGTGTTCCTGGGCCAAAACTTCTTTCCGCCTGTAAGAATGGTATTAGCAACGTTACTCTCATAACCGTCACCAACTTTTAAAGAACGGTTTCCAATTCTCCAGCTTTAACCGATGAGCATAGTCGATGTAACCGGACACTTCAAATCCTGTAGGCGTGTAATATCTTACGAATATGATGGTCTGGAAAGAAAATTTTTATCAACCTTTCATAGTTTAGCATCCGGGCAATAATTAATGTAGGGGTGGCGCGGGGACGTTAGTTGTCTTCGCGGATATCCAGAAGTGTCATGCCTGTGGTATTACAATAGACGATGAGGAATTTAATCCATTGTATAATCATTTGCAGTTCGCCAATTATGCGGTCTCAACGTCACACCCTCTACCTAATTAATTTTTGTTTAAATATCCTAAATGTGATTAGGTTAATTCGCAAAAAAATGTGGTTGTGGGTTGATACTGATAAGTGCGGTTGCTTTTCAAATTTTGTACGTGCTTAACGCCCAGTTTCCCTGTTCGCAGATTGTTGTCTTTGGTTTAATTGTTATAACAGAAAAAGCGGCTTAGATGTACACAATGGAAGCGTTTTCAATGCGATATGCAAATTGCGCGCGGCGTAGGTTCTTGTAGGCCGTACGTATTTGGAGTTAGTTTATATTGAAACCCGGGCTTTTATTCCAATATTCAAATTATTTAGTATAGAAATTGGGATATAGAAACGGTTTAATTTTCCATATGCATGGTTCAAATTTTTGAGTCAAGTCCTTTGGTGAACGTTGGCTCTATAGTTTGAGGTTGTTTAATTTACAGAGTGTAAATTTACTTATGTTTCAAATGAACCTTTACCGCGGCCGTGTGCCAACTGCAAATATGTTTAACCCTAATTTACAGAACTGGGGTGGATCGCACCCCACAGCCACTTTCACTGTCCATAAGTTTTTTTTCTTTCAATATTTTGGCCTGGGAGCTCGAGTACCTTCCAAGTTTAGTCTTTTTTATCGTTTTTGGCGTTCTTAGGATTTGAGTTTTTATTTTATCACTACTTTTAGAAAAACTTTCAAGTTTACAGGTCTGGGGTGGATCGCACCCCACACCCACTTTCAATGTCCATAAGTTTTTTTTATTTCAACATTTTGGCCTGGGAGCTCGAGTACCTTTCAAGTTTAGTCTTTTCTATCTGGGGTTCGTTCCACCCCACGCTCGTAAACTTGAAAGTTTTAGTGGCCAGTAAACTAGGGTTAACAAATTTTAAATTCTTCTACTGAAGAAAAGGCACGTCGGATCGCTACTTATTACTCAAGAAAGAACTTCGTTCCATTAGTTAAAGGATGGATCTTTTATTTCCTCGTGAATATACTCAGTTAATGAACACAAACACATTTATCAGCAATGGTGTCCACGAAATATATGTAATAATAAAACCACTTGAAGGGTAGCAAAGGGCACTTTTCTAATAAGCAAATGGTAAAATTATTGAATGAATGTCTTACAGGTTTTATACAGATTTAAGATCGATTATCACAAAGCATCGATTGGAAGCTATGGAAGGGCCCTTAAGAACTTATTTTTTTAATTGACGGTTTATGTTAGGATTACGTTTTCAATAAAAGAAAGCCTGCACTGGAGTGGCTCCCAGTTACAACCATAAATTACTATAATTTTTGCGCGATCGGTCATTTTTGACTATTTACCATGTGTGTTTCCATGACAGGACGTGGAATTTACCAGTTGCTATGATTACGATGACGCCAAAATTACTTACCGATCTAAAAACAGAACAGCAAAAATACTTACCGACGCCTTTTTAAAGTTCAATGTTAACAGTGTTACATTACATTTAATCTTTAATTATTGTTACATTAAACGTACAATTTGTGCTGATGTTTCGTATAGAAAGAACACGTTCTTCATTTAAACCTGAAGCAATAGAGATCAATGTGTTTGAAGATGTGCTTTCGTTTTTCTTAATACATTCCAATTACAATTTTGTTCTGTAAAATCTTCGACATACCATTCGGCCACCGGCCAATACCTCGCTCATAAAGTCATAAAGGAAGTGCAAAACTAGCAAACTACATCAGACACAATGCACAAGAAATTATTAATTTCAGTTTTGACAAACAAACTGGTTACCTAGTGATGTACACCATACCACTTCGATCATTTCGATTTATTCTGCTCGTTAATTTCTTAGTGCGTATTTATATTGGTTGCATAATTTTAATTTCGATCGCGCAAAAAATGTTATAAGCACGTCGAACGTTAAGGGTTACCGTTCTCAGACAATAATTGGAGTCGTCGCTCCGCTCCTCCTCCAAACAATTGTCTTCGAACGGTAAAAATCCCTTACCGTTCTCCATACTTAATATACTAAGTATTTCAGATAGGTATCGTATTATCGTATCGTATGAATGGCACTCGCTAGATACAGTCGTCTGTGTCATGCTATGTCTGCCGGGACCGCCTGCTTTAAATGCCCTCCGAAGCATGGTAGTCAGGAGATGTTCTGTACCACTAAAAACTGTCAAGTTGTGGGATTCGAACTCACAACCTGCGAGGTTGGAGTCCGAGTCTTAAACCGGTACGTCAAACTTCAAGCGTGAACATCTTTGTAGCAGCAGAGTATTCACAAACGGAAACTAGAACATCTTCTAAATGCGCAGTAGTAGTCATGGACCAGAAGTATCGTTTGGTGGGGCTTCCATTCGAAGAAAGTGTGCTGGAAAAGAGATCCATAAAGAAAAAAATTGAACACCTGAACCCTGAACATACGAGTGGGCTCAAGACTTCTCGAGAACAGATTGTCGAAAGAAGGATCCCGTGATCCTTTGAACGGAATGTCGGAAAATGCTATTCAGAAAGGAAAACGAGACATATTTGTGTGTACCCTTTTTTACAACTTAACATAACTTTTTTGGCCCGCAGACTTGACGGGGATTTTTTATGGCGCGAAGCGATATTTTTCCGTTACTGTCATATGATAGAAACAGTATTTAATTTCCATTCGTACCGACGTTAAGTTGTGGAGCTTTATTCTATAGTAAGCAGTAGTTCAAATATTAAAACAAGGATACCTGTGGAAAATAGTATCACATACTATTTTTAGTTGACTACGACACAGATGAATGTTTTCAGCACTTTTAAACCTGTAAAACTGTCAATGAATTACTTACATCGACGTCTGAACTATTATTTATCTTCAAAACATAGTTTGAACTATAAAACAATTATATCCGATTAAACAAATAACGTTGTTCCACTGTTTTCTTTTTCCAAAGGTGACTTTTTTGACTAATCAGACCTCGAAATTGTTGTTATGGTCAAAATATAAAACAAGGTGTTTTTTTTATATTTTTAGAAAGCCTGATTTAATTGCCCTAAATTTCCACAATTATTTACTTAATTTATTTAACCATATTAGATTCTACGGTCTATTAATACACTGTTGCATTTCAATTTTTGGAAAACGGATCAAAATCTATTACCCAATTTTAAAGCGCAATCTAGTAGCTATGAATATAATACCAATTTCATAATTCAGACACGTGCTTAAGATATGTAGTGTACTGGTTTTTTATCAAACCCAACTTTTTGAAACTGCCAGACTGCATATACGCACACCATATGTTTAAAATATGCGATATTTTTGTAAGAAAAGACAAGAACATATAAAATATATTACGAACACAACAAGGCGATACCATGAAAACCTTTTATGGACAAAAAACCTGGCATAACCCACAGAAATGCAAAAAACTATGACAACAAAATGCAAAAGAAATAGATAAATCAATCATCACAAATCGGACAATGGAATTCAGGAACCGAATCAAATGCAGTGAAACAAATTCATAAAAACAAACACAAAAGACATCATAAATGCAAGTGGAAAGCGCGATAAATCGTGTCAAGTACAAACCACGTCAAAAATTTCATGTACAAAAAAGATAACGTCAAAATCATAGCTCTACTCCAGCATCGACCAGCATCTATCACGAAAGGTACATGTGAAAATGTCAACAGTAAGTATCTATGTTAAACTTCCTTATCACCAAAGTAAAACGTATTATAAATAGAAGAAATGTTAATTTGTAGGGCCCTTTTCTCGTATTGCTAAGACGCAAGATCTGCGGTCTGCACAAAAAAGAAAGCAACAGCGAGAAATCGCACTGTATTAGGTACTTTCTTCGCGGAAATAGTTAAACGGCTGATACAAAGAAACATCAAATTGGAGGACCCCCCCCCCTACTCTGGACAATAAAAGTTTATTTAAAAATAGAGGCTGATTAGCAAAAAAATAATGAACATGTGCGGTTTTAAGGGTTTATTCAAAACGATATGATTGTGGCAGGCTCTGTGACGTAATAAGACCGACCAATCAGCTCCTAGAACCATTCAGATGACATAACGACTTGGCAATATTGCAGGAGAATATCATTTGTTACCTGCGTCACCTGTCACAGGCACTTGTCACTTGTCGTTCACTTTCGCGTTTTAGATGCAGTTAAAAAACATGCCTCTTAAATCGTCAAATCCGACAAACGTTAGACCCTCGCACAAGGTTGCCGGCTCACTTCTACGTGATTGGTTGTAGGTTTGTGACGTATTTAGACTGAAGCGTTTCAAATTCGGACTAAAAACACAGCGTTTCAATAATTTATTTTGGGTTTATTTGACTCGCAAATAAAAATTGAGGACACACGGGTCTTTTTATTTTTAATGTACTTTGTAGATAAGAAATAAAAAATGAAGCCGGGATGCTCCCATTTTGCAACTTGTAGTAGTGAGTACGTCGGAGGGACATTGGTTCCAAGCTTCAAAGGTAGTTTTCTTCCCACTCCCGTGGAAACCGGAGTGGGTCTCACAGCCTGTGATCTCGTGAAACACCGTGGGGTGGGGGGAGGGGGCTAATCTTTATGGACCTTAAAAAAGTTGAGAATTTTAAATACAAATGTTCCGATAAAAAGCACAGCATCAAAAGCTTCTCCCTAAGAAGACTGACCGAGAGAGTGTGCAACAGCCAACAAATTGCACTGTGAGATGTTTCGAACCTGGGTTGAGGTGAATTTTTCATCTGTGGCAAAGATGGAAATTATCCTTAGACCAATTTCGAACATTCTGCCGGCTACTCCGAATTAGGTTTTCCTGCAGTTTTCCTAATTCGTAAGGTAAATAGGTATATA